AAAGACGTTTCGCCAAAGCCACTCGTATACTGAGGTTGTGTATAGCTGATAACAAGTTTTCCAATAGTAACAACAATGGTGCGTGCGCAATTACCGCTCGACCTTACTCTTCCAAGCACAATCATCTCGTAGTCTCGGTTAACTAAAAGAGTTAACTTGCAGTCGCCTGCTGGATAGATTCCGCCTACCATTGCTCAAAACTACTCACTACAAGAGCACTAATTTCATTCAAGACAAATAAAGTACTCCTATGTGGAGTGTTTGGGTGGGGCTCTCATTTAACACCGCACTCCACGACCAGCCGGTTTCGTCCTGGTTTGGGCTCCTCTGCTAGAGATGGCTTGATCTGGAAAGAGGAACTCGGGTACTCAACAACCTAACAGTTGACCTCTAACCGCTGTTTCAAGCCTTGCCCGCGGACTCAATGACCTAGTGGTCATGGCGATAGCCGCCAAGCACTATCCGCCGAGTTCCACTTTCAGGTGCGCCGACTCTACCGGATGATTTAAAACCAGGACGAAACGGTCGGTTGTGGAGTGCAGTGCTCGTTGCCGATCCCTGTGAACTTGTTGGCACAGGCTGACTTCAAAGTCAACCTAAGCCACAACTGTGATTGCGTGTCGCAATCCAGGACACACGGTGGGTGTACTAAAACCCGAAAATCACTAGACTGGTGCGTCGTCCTGTTGGAACTGAGCAGTAGCGCGCCCTGCAATTCCGTCCGGGGACACACGTTTATGACTACTAACTGCCTGCGTAGCTAGTCAGCAACTAATGCTGCTGCGCTATGGATGACTGTGGCTGTCCGTCATGAATCAAGAACTAACTGCGACAAATCGCAACTCATCTTCTGCTGCTCGGCAAGTTAGGAAACTCGCAAGTGTCATGGTTGGCTTCGAGAGTCACGGATTTCACTGATGTTAACCTACGTTAGTGCATTTAGAAGCTGTTAATTTCCGGTTTAAAAAATACAGTTCGTCATGGTCGGCTACTTGATCTTGATTATGCGGACGATGTAAGATCGGTCCAAGCATACCAGAATAACCTCACTAAATTGTTCCCAGCATTTGGTATTCGCTTCCCATCTTCAAAGTGTAAACTTTTAATACAAGACCATCAGCCACTTGTAGAAAACTTGAAATCCAATGCGGAGAAAACCAGGGCACTTGCTCAATTCGCTTATCATGGTAACCACATTGACACTGATGGACGCATAACGATGGTATTCCGTTCACGCATTTCAAACGTTAGAACTGCCTTTCTGAATCTATGACATCTATGGCATCAGAAAGCGGTTTCCTTATGTCCAAAGCGCCCTGTTTACAAGGCCACTGTGAGGACTGTCTTGCTCTATGGAAGTGAGACTTTCCACTCCGATCTGAGGCACTGGGTAAATTCAAGTCTTCGATCATTGCTGTCTGCGAAGCTGGTTTCCGATGGCAACGGTGTGTCTGCAATCATGATGCGCGTAAGTAGGAGCTAGGCAGTGATAATTAAGCCTGTTCCTTAAAACAAAACTAACACTGAATAAGTTGCGCTGTCTTGGGCACATGCTAATTTATGACCGGTCACTGCTAACCGAAGAGGGACTTGTTTTTGCTGGTAGATGTGCAATGGGAAAAAGTTAATATGCGGGTAAAAAAACCTAGTGCTTAGCAGGTCACTTAGGATGGTTATGGTGAAAATTCAGCATATAAAATGTTGGTAGCAAAACAGGGTTTACACAGAGAGCTCACTGAACTAAATTTAATATAGACTGTACATCCAAGGTAAATCCATGAGAAATGACGACAAATTGGATGTTGGTAAAAATCGCATCTCCTTTTGGTGCATACATACAGGATGTGAAGAACGTGGAACGCAATCTGTGATTTGACCACCATTGAAATCTCTTGCAGACGCTTGTGTTTATCCATGGGTAATGGGTTATGTAAGTTGCTGAAGCGAAATAAGTGCATGGTCAACTCGGGCTTTGAACTCTGCCAGCGTGGGAGCATAAATTACAGATTCTGCTAGGACATTCCACGTTTTGCAAAAGCGTACGGACAAGAAATTCCGACGGCATTCTAAAGGACTGTTCTGCTCTGCCAGCTTGAGATGGTGGCCTCTCAAATTAGCATTGTGCCTGAGCTCTAGCACATGGATACACGTGTGGTTGGGATCTCACAAATTCTGGTAAGCCAAAATGAGATCCCCGCGCAATGGCCGATATTTTCCGCTGAAGGCCCTGAGCACTTGAAGCCTTCGTTCGTATGACAAATTATACCGGACCCTGACGTTCTTGGTTGCCGGGGGTAAGGGTACCTCCAAGGCCGTGAGATCTGTCCTCAGACATGGCGGCCAGAAATGTATTGTGTATTCCACATGTGGCCATATGTATGAGCTGAGAAGCTGTGGAAAAATCGAAGGGTCGAATTGCTCGAATGCACGCTTCATGAGGCGCACATCTATGATGCTTCTCCTAGATGCCGTTGCAGTTTGCTTCGAACATCCAACATCAACCGGGACAAAAACATCCAGATCCTGCTCGCCAGAAGAAGTCTGAAGCTCATGGTCGCTGATTTTGTCCACATTGAAATGAAATGTATTCTGTATTGACCACGCGTATACCCTATCCAGCTCAGCTTGAAGTATTGTGATATCAGCTGTTGTACTTATCACTGTCCACACCTTAATATCATCAGTATGCAGAAGGCATTTAGCTTATGAGGCCTGTGAAATCTAATATATGTCAATAATAACCGCTGCCCTAATACTCGGATGGGATATGACAACGATTCTCGCACACCTACTTCCAGGTACCGGTGCAGAAGAAAGCTTCTGATCCAACCTAGTGGAGGATAACCGATACCCAAGGTCTGGACTTTGAAGAGCATAATGCTAACCGGTAGAACGTTTTTGAGAAGTAGAGAAAGGTTACATCAACTCCTGTGCAAGAGTCTATTGTCTCGGTCCAGGTGAATCATGCTAGTAGTAGATTTGTAGCGCACGATCGAATTCGTCGGAAGTCATAGTGTTCCGGTGCGCAGTAGTTAAATTCTTCTATGTTGGCCATTAGCGCATAAGAAATATTAGCTTCCATGAGCTTTGAAAGAACCGGTAATATTTCGGGTCAGTAGTTGGCTGGATTGGAACGATTACCTTGTGAATAAGAGTAATCATCCCGTGTTTCCACATGTCGAGCATATGATTTTCTTTAAAAGCAGTATTCGAAGAATCGAGTCTAATGCTCAGTTAAACTCTCTTCTACTGCCGCCAGCTATTCCGTGTGTATATTATCAACTCCAGAAGAGCTGTGCTTGCGCATGCTCAACAGATTCTTTATTACAGCTTCTGCTGCGAAGCATATGTGAGTAAGATTTGGGGATAAAACAACCACCGTCATAGGGTTGGGTGTCTAGTGACCGCACGGATATATTGCAGCATACTGTAGGCGCAGGGTATTCGCTACATCCTTCGGTATGTGCGTGGGTCCGTCCGTTCTTTGAAGAGGAGGAATTCCCCGTTTCACCTTACGTAGGCTGTTGAAGTGTTGCTACAGAAGCCTATTTGAGGCTATAGGCACTGCCAAATTCTCCTGGTACACTATTCTTTCCTCACCAACAAGCTAAGTACAGTGGTTACCTTGAGACGCAAATATCATGTAGTTCTCAGTGCTTTGGGAGAGATTTTAGATATGCCAGTCTGAGTTTCGCACCTCTATACGCTTCCGTGTCCTGCATCGCAGAATCGAGACCACGTTTCTCGGGCGGAAGTTCTTAGTCGTTGACGCTTCGTTAAACAGAAAGTTAAACTGGCTGACGAAATGTTTCATTGCACAAGCTGGTGCCTGGTTTGTTAGAATGGCCGTTCACTGTCTCACCTAATCGGGTGGCGCAAAGCCCGAGGTAGGTAAATATTAACTTGACAGGGGGAAATGAAGACGCTGACGACCAAGCTCGGTCCGCCGGTCCGTTTATCCTTCTAGACTGGAGTCTACGTGACCCGCTTTGTGCTTGGCTTAAGACCTTACTGGACATGACTCGTAGTATCCCACGATGGAGTGTCTGCAGTCGTCTCCTAGTGGGACTGCCTGTTTAAATTGTGTTTGGTGCTAAGTTATCTGTTGGGTAATGGATGATTATGGTGCGGGGCAGTGAAAGACGCAAGGGAGCCGTTTCATTGATGCCGCCTTATTTTTTTCACGAAAGTCATCTGTTTGTGGCTGTGTTGTTGACAGTTCAGGCGCCTTGACCCTGGATATTTATTTAGGACATAAGGTTTTACGTTTGATCCTCCTTCTCTCCCTCATATTATTCTTCCTTTCGTAGATCAATGTGATCGTACGGAATCGAGGCGCCAGTGCAAATGTTGATACACTGCTTTTGATGAAGATGGTCAGCTACCGGCCAGGTAAACTCCCAAACATCTGGAGAACCAGGTGGCCGTTCTGAACTATTTGATACATCGGCAGTGCTCGTCCCACACGAATAGCATTCATACGCTCACGGCTGATGTCATTATATCGTTTTGAGTCCGTGGGACGTGGCAGCATATTCCCTTTGTGAGTTGTCTTTGTTTCACTTTGCGGTGAGCCGCAAGTTATTGGTGTACCGAGTTACGCAAATTTATGTGAAGTTTCGCATACATTAGAACGCCAAGAAATCTCTACTTGGTTTGAGCACTGCAATGCTTAGAATTGCAGCTCAGCGGGCAGATCCAAATTTCATAGCTTAAATTATCCCATTTATCTGCGCGTTGCTACAATTTATAAATGTGAACGCGTTTGCACTGGTAGTGCTGAAAATAATGGCGTCATGTAGTATGAGGAGGCTTAGTCCGTTAAATGAGGATGTTGCTGGAAAGCACAGAATGTGTTTGGGCGATGTACCCATGGGACAACTCATTTTTGGTTGCGTAACGACGGTTTACATGGACGATCCTCAAATCGGATATAAACAAAGTTATGCATGCTTCTTGTTCTGTGCATACTCATCTCGGAATATCAGCAGCTTTATCTAATTGTACTTGCACTTAGTACACTAAGATAACACATTCGCATAAGCACTCGCAGTTTCCACAATCTTGTGACCACGTGTTCGCCCATCGACCAAATATTTAAAGCGCTTAGCTAAACGGACTGCTAAAAGTCAACTTCGCTGAACCGAGTCCAGTGCCAATTAATACCGTTAACAAAAAATGTTGGCTGCCTTGAGAAGTGCTCGATTAAAACAAAGAAAACAGAACACTTATCAAATTTGCCCTCATCCGCTATTCACCTTCGCCAAACACACAGGAATGATTGAAGAATTTCTGCAAACTGTACTGAAATCTTACCTCAGTGAAGTGCAAGTAACACCGGCGGGAGTAATCACACCTCCATTCACACAGCTTCTGAACTCGATAAAGGATTCCATTTGGACCAAGCAGCAACGTCTCTTCCCAAGACACAAGATAATTGTGCATGGTATAATTGGAACAACTGGTGACAACGCGCCAACCGTCAATTTTAATACGCATACTTTTACGTCCGCTGAGTGTGGTGATGACTGCGTAAGCGTGAGTTTGAAAAACACTGCCTGCTTCGTTTCGGTTGTTGTGGCAGGCTTCGCAACGGACTGAACGCGGTGTACATGGTCCTTGGTGTCCATTGCAACAACGAGATGACACAATAAATTGTTCATATTTAAACATCTAACTAAGACGGTTCTCAGTCTACTCGGTGTATCGAATGGTGAAGGCACCGCTAAGTGCGAATGGCTGCCGTCTCTCTAATTGATGACGGTGAGAAAGGCAATTAGCTCAGAGAAGTTAATAAGGTAAACTAATGGCTTAGAACAAGGTCCAAGGATAAAGAAGAGGAAAACCAGATAGAAAAATGGAAATAGGGGCCAGGAAAGAATAGAATGGAATCAGAATAAGTAACTAATAGAGTCAATAGCTAGGAGTCCAGTGGCAGAGCTGTACGCTGTTGGGCGCATCCTCCGGTTGCGGATTGAGGAATGGTTTACTTGTGGAGAGAGCTGAGAAGAAGTCCCGTTTGTATTGCCAACGAGATGAATGAGCAGTCGCGAGTAATCAACAGCAGCGTCTCAGAATTTGGGGAGTTCAGCCCTGGTCACCTATTTGTCCGTCAAATACCATAAAAGCTAGTACGATGCTGTGTCAAATTCAATGTAACGACCACTCACTTATGTAACATGAAGTTATTGCCTAATGGAGGACGGTTGAATAACCCTGCTGCCCTTCAGCGTCTTTTGTTACTGCTACAGAACACAAAGAGGGTGAATGAGTCATCTGGCTGTCAACGGTTTTCGTATACGGCCGCTACATGAAGGGTCAGGTCTTAACGACCAAAGGCTCGCAGTAGGGTCTTTAAAGTCAAACCTCTTCCACGGGCTGGGCAATCGGGAAACTCAATGCTCTTGCAACACATGAACCCATGTAACCATTTCCAGGATTTCCTCCTTTACTCAATTTTATTGGTGTGACTTGTGTGTTGTGGCAGTTAGCCAATTATTTATTGCTCAATCGTTATATATATATATATATATATATATATATATATATATATATATATGTTTCAACCCCGCAAATAGTACAAATGGCATAGTGCCAAAACGTATGGAACATACAATACACAAACAAAGGGATAAAGAAAAAGGAGTTCATAGGAATAAAGAGTCACAACAAGTCCGCGATTGCGCACGAATGGTTACAAGCGCTGAACCAAGGCAAATCAGTCGACGTCATTTACATTGACTTCAGTAAGGCTTTTGACAATGCAAATCAAGCGGTGCTCCTCGACAGGCTGAAGATGTGCGGTGTTGGTGGTTCGCTACACCAATAGATCAGGAATTTCCTTATTGATCGAAATTGGAGGCTCTAGGTTGACAACCATTTAACCGACTGGTATCCGTCGAGCAGCGGCGTGCCCCAAGGCACTGTACTGGAGCCGATTTTGTTTCTGATCCATGTAAACGATGTGCCTCAGCTACTCCAATCCCCTTGTGCTTTGTTCGCAGATGACTTGAAGGTGTGGAGAGAAATCCGAACACCCAATGATTTTGCTCTGCTTCAGCAGGACCTCGACCGCCTCTTCATGTGGTCTGCAGAGGTCAACCTTCCGATCAACACCGTCAAGTTGCAATTCATGAGGTTGGGTAAGTCTGAGTACGGTCGAACATACACGGTGGCTGTTCAACCCTTGCATCCCGCTCCTTTTGTGCGCATTCTCGATGTACTCTCACGCTGCGACCTAAAGTCTATGGACAATAAGAATAGGAATTACCAAAACAGCCTTCGGATGCTTTGGGCCTTCAGGCGCAGCTTCAGCACTTGGTCCGAAGAGATGGCTACTCGTCTCTTCGTCTCAATAATACGACCAATGCTAGAGTATGGCTCTCCCGCGTGTTGTCCTATCACCCGGCGTGAGGTAGAAAAGATTGAGCGAGTGCAGCATGTAGCCACCAGGCTGATTCCTAACTTAAAAGGTGTACCGTACGAAGACCAGTGTAAGAAACTAGGGCTGTGCACCCTAGCTTATCGTCGATTGCGGGTTGACCTTATCATGACGCACCGGATACTACATCTGGGAGATTACGCCATCTTGAGGCCGCTGCTTCATCTGCGCACACCAAGCACCACACGAGGACACCGGTATAAGCTTGTCATACCGGATTTGAAACGGGTCACTCATCAATGTTTTGAACGTAGAATGGTGAATTTACGGAACGACCTGACACAGCAGGTAGTAGAGGTGAGCTCAGAGTCGGAATTTAAGAATTTCCTGGACAAACACTTCGCCGACGCAAAATATGTCGAACGGAACACAATATAACGGGTATTTGTCCATGAGTGACGACTGATGAAGCTATACAGAGCAAGCTCTACTCGCTGCTTCTAACCAGCATTCAGCATTCGGCATTCATATTCATGAATGCTCCCAGCCATATGTGTTACGGATCATTCACACTCCATCCAGGGAGCCGACAGTGCCCAAGCACGTTAGGTCCATCATGTTCCTGACCTAAGTCGCATGTTGGCCACCTCGCTTTCGCTTCCAGCCGACTTCTGCGTACATGAAGAGAGCACGGCGAGGTAAGCCATGAGTAGGCGTGCGAAGAACTTGCCCAAGCCACTGAAGTCTGCGGAGAGAAATTACGCTGCTCAGTGGCCCCCAAAGTCTCTCTGATCTGAAAATCCTCCGTCGAACATCTTAATTACTAGTGTGATGTTGCCATCATTCACCAGCAATGCTCCGAAGGCAGCGGTGATTAAAATTTACGGCCTCTCAACTTCCTTTGCGTGAACAGATCAAGTCTCGCAGGTATAAAGCAGAACCACTCTCACTGTGGCATGGTAAACACAGCTATTCAGAGATAGACTCAGATCTCCGCGACGTCAGAGATGACGGAGATTGGTAAAAGCACTCGGATTACAAGTTGAGAGTAGTTGGCTTGTAGTAAGGTGACATAATTCTCGGACACTCCTCTTCTCAGTGGACAATTCCAGAGAGCAGCTTTGTTGACTGTCAAACGCCGCTTGTATGTCTAAGTAACCAACAATCGTTGGCCGGCCAAGTGTTTGACGACGCTAGACTATTTGGCGAAGTGTAAAGATGTGATCGATGCGACTCCGACCTGAGTGGAACCCACCTTGCTCTTCACGTATGCTCTGTTCGCGTACCAGACTGAGCCTACTTATAAGCAGAGTTGCAAGCAATTTTCAAGCAACACAGATGAGATTACTCCCTCTGTGATTGGCACAGTCAGTTCGGGTACCATTTTGGAAGACGGGCATGGTATCCGCTAAGCTCCAATCAGATTGAATAACTTCAGTGACCCAGATCCCTTGGAGGATAGAAGTTAACTCCTGAACTAGTGATGGGCCGCCATCTTTGAAAAGAGCCGGCTGGAGTTCATATGGGCCAGGAACTTTGTGGAAATTTGAGAAGCGGAGCTCGTGGGCAACCTCAGCCTCGGATGGTAGTGAAGCATCTATACACAAGGGACCACTCTGAACTTCAGAATGGGAGATCAATGGTGCTGTTGGCTAATTAAACTGATGTTGGTGTTGTCTTTTTTGATAGTGCATTGGCTCGCCATTGGTTTCGCACACAACTTTGCTTACAGTCGACCTTGTGCCGCCAGTAGATGGGATCAGGAGGAAAAGCTTACGGAAAATCCCGAGGTGGCCGCTTGCTCCATCTCATTGACCCGCTGCGTCTAGCAGACCTCGCGATCATCTCGGATATGCTTGAGCCCAGCGTTAGTAGTCTGCCTAATGAATGGTATTTAACACTAACAGGAATTGTTCTACGGGCTTCGAGAATTTGGAGGGATCGTGCAGTGTTCCAATGGTTGATAGGACTAACTCACAGTCTGTGTGT